TCTTGGGTGGATATACACAAAGGGGAAAGGTTCCAGGAATCATCTCACTCATCCCCACGTGCCTTATGCTAGGAATCATCACAGTCTGTCTATGTGACCAGGCCTAGCAGTCAGAGCAGCAATCAGGCTTAGCAATCAGAGCAGGAATCGGAAGCCAGATGCTCGAACCACGGATTGCAGCTGGAGTCAGAGGCCAGAGCCAAGGGCCAGAACCAAAGTCCGAGTTTAGAAATCAGAGCAAAGGTAGAACAGGGTTACCTGAAGTGAGGCAAGGCAGAGACAAGACCGGGAATAGACAATTACAGGCACTATCACAGCCACATGCAAATACTTGAGTACAAAGCAGTGCTGCTGCTGGGCTGAAGAGCTGGTTTGCAGAGCCTTCCAACCATTCTGGTGTTGGAGCCAGTCAGGGAGCCTAATAGAGTCCAGCTGCACTCATTAGGTTGCCTGGAGACTGGCTCTGCTGCATTCCCTGATTCTGGCACAGTCCCTTAGCTTGGGGCAACACAGAGATTCTCTTTGTCCCCCTGTCAGTGCATCATGGAACAGAACAGGCTCATAGTAGGATGGGGCAGGCTGCACCATCCTTAAGACAGGTATCGGAGAATATTTTCCAGTGCACTGGTGACCTTAGGTATCAGCCCTCACTGAGCTCTCCATGGGGTGGGGTGGCCCCATTTTCTATCCAACTCAGAGATGTACCTCACAGGCATTATGTAGCCTTTAGTGTTGAAAGATTTTCCTAATTACTGTTGTATATGTGCCCGTGTGAGTCACTTGTGTCCATGGAGAGTCCTGTTCCTGTCCTTTGACAGTGCTTACAGATCTGTGAGGGGAAAGCCAAGGGGAAGGCAACTGAAAGTGGTTGTGGCCTGCTCATTGCCCAGGGCAATTGTCATGGAGCAAGACTTACTACATTTTTCAGTCTCTCTTGGGGTCCTGGAGACACCGAACAGGTCATGAGATGGGGATACATTTTTTTTAATGTAAATAATTGATAGCCTTTGGTGAACACCCAACACATCATAGAAGAAGAAAACAATAGACATACAGTAGTTCAGCAGTGACTCTGCTTGCTAGATCTTTGGCAACCTCTACTGGCCCAAAAGAGAAACTGCACCAACAAGCATTTCTTGCACTTTTTCTGTTAACTTTCAGAGTAGCAGCCGTGTTAGTCTGTAGCTCACGAAAGCTTATGCTCAAATAAATTGGTTAGTCTCTAAGGTGCCACAAGTCCTCCTTTTCTTTCTGTTAACTGTTAGCCAAGACTACGGGCTGCTTCTCTATAATTAAAATGCTACAGCTGTAGTGCTTCAGTGAAGACATTACCTACGCTGATGGGAGAAGGGCTTCTCCCAATGGCGTAGGCAATCCACCTCCCTGATGACTTGTCTACACGCACAGCGGTGCAGCTACGCCACTGTAGCACTTAGTGAAGATGCTACTTATGCCGAAGGGAGAGCTTCTCCCATCAGCACAGTACTCCACCTCCCGAAGAAGTGGTAGCTACGTTGACAGAAGACCTCACCCCTGGGCAACATAGTTATACCAACATAAGTTCATAGTGTAGACCATGTCCCAGAGGCATTAGGTAGGTCGATGGGAGAATTCTCCTGTCGATCTAGAGCTGTCTACACTGGGGGTTAGGTAAATTTAAATGTGTTGTTCAGGGGTGTGGATTATTCACACACCTGAGCGATGTAGTTATTCTAACCTAATTTCCTAGTACAGACCAGGCCTTAGCTAACCTCTTTCTCCAAGTATCACACTATGTCCTATCTTCCCTCTCTGTCATTTGAAATTTAAGCTCTGTGTGGCAAGGGCTATTTTTGAGGTGAAGTGTCAAGCATAATGTTAGCACTTAATGACAAAATGTGATTGACAACAGCAAGAACTTGTTTAGGTTTTTACTTAGAGTTACGTCAGCTATAAATTGTGTTGCTTCATTTTCTACAAACCGTCCCCCCAAAAGAAAGAGAAAATGGCTACGGTATTGGTAATAGTACTATACCAGCAACTAGCTTTAAGTGGACAATACTGGTGTGCTCCTATTGCTACTAATGGCCTTATTAGATGGTTCATTTGCTGATTACCAATGAAAGGGTGAAGAAAAGGAGGAGGAAGGGTAAGGAGACAACAGAGAGGAATGGCAAAAGCCCAGAGGTAGCAACATGACACATCTGAAGAACCCATCAGATGGGGCAAAATGCACAGACAAAGTGAGAGGAACAGGACAACTACTCATGGGCCACAGTGGCAGAGAGGTATGAGAGCTGTGAGAGGGAAACATCAGTCCAGACACTCAGGCAGAGAGAAAGAGAGTAGTATTTTTATTCTGACCAGAGTGTAGATCTTTTTGCTTACTTGCTGATTTTCTTTACATGTTGATTGTACTAAAGAAAACTAGCAAAAATATTAGGTGCGTTCAAGAGTTCTTTTTATTTTCCTCCTTCTATTTCCTAGTTTAAGAAAGCCACATCAAAGAATATAGTGACAATACTATGGAAATAATATAGTTCATTTGAATGCTGGCACAAAGAGAAGGTTCACTTTATCACCTTCAGCTTTTTATTACCAGTAGGAACGCCTGTGCAGCTTCATTTGTTCCTCTCTGTGTTAGGTTCCCACTGAGTGAAATAAACTAACACACCATACTACCTAAAATTAGACAACCAATCCAAAAATGTTACTCTCTAGAGGCAGTGAGCTGATAAATATGTGCTCCATGTTTTGGAGTCTTTCTATAGTTAAGGGTGTAATCAGCTTTCAATTGTAAATTTACTTTGGGCTTCTCTCAACTCTTCAGAAATGGTCTTTTTGTTTAAAATGTTGAATGTGTGGTTTGCAGCCAGAGGAAAAGGCTGTTGGCTAAATTGGAGGTGGTTCAAGCATTCTGTTTCTGAGATATGATGCTCTGAAAAAAATTGGTGCAAATTAAGTTTACAGAGACAAAGGATAGTTTAGTGATTTGGGCACTAGCTGGGAGTTGGGAGACTGGAGTTTAATTCTCTACTCTGCCGTGGACAGACTGTGTGACTTAAACAAGTCTGTGCCTCAGTTCCCCACCCATAAAATGGAGGTAGTAGTACTGCCCTATCTCACCCTGGTGCTGTGAATATACATTGAAGACTGGGAGGTGCTCATATCTATGACTCCCATTACCATAGTAATATCTACACGTATGTCCATACTGCAGCGGGGAACAAGCCTCCGGGCCCAGGTAGCTAGACTTGCACCAGCATGCTAAAAATAGCTGTGTGGATGGTGTAGCACCAGCAGAGGCTTGGGCTAGTGAGCAGAGTTCAAGCTTGGTGGCTAGTCTGAACCTTTTCTGGTGCTGCAATGTCCACACAGCTATTTTTAGTGTGCTAGAGTGAGTCTGTCTACGTGCGCTGCAGGCCTTGCTCCCAGCTGCAGTGTAGACATACATTAAGTTCTGAAGGTTCTTTTTGTCATATAAAGTTCTTTATCAGATCTACTCCGCAGGACTCTATAGGGCAGATGTTGAAGTGCTAGTTTTGGAGTTATTTGCCTCTGAAATAGAAACATCAGAGTGTTCTCATGGCCTGGTAGAATTTATGAGGTTCCTCACATATGACAAGCCTTTGAACAGGATATGAATGACTTTGTGAAAGCTATACACCTTGTGTCCATGTGCTCTCCCTCGTTCACTCACACAATTCATTTTGCACAAATGTATGCTTCGCACCCCCTACCCCATAGAAGTACCAGAGGCAGTGTAGTCTTGTGAAGCGAGGAGAGAATTGGGAACAAAATTGCTCTTGAATTCTACTCCCATCTGTTCCCTACAATATGGTCTTCGTAGTACAGGTACTTTTCAATCACATAATATCTTTCATTCAAAGCTCTCAAAGTGCTTTTACAACACAAATCATGCTTCACAACCACTTTGAGGGGTACATTTATTTCATTATCACCATTTTGTAAATGAGAAAATTGAGGCTCAGAAAGGTTATGTTTAATGACAAAATTGTCAAATGTGGGTGCCTAAAGTTCAGCATATCAGGCCCAGATCCTCAAAAGGTATTCAGGCCCCTAACTTCTGTTAAAAAAAATTTGTGGAAGTTATGAGCCTAAATACCTTCGAAGATCCAGGTCTAACTTCATATTTGGCACCTAGCTAAGCAGTCTGATTTTCAAAGGTACTGAGACATCTCAGTATCCGACTGACTTCAAAGTATGGATTTAGGTGCCTAGCTTTAGTCACCAGCTGGTTTGTTTGAGGCCTGAGAACAGGTCATTCCTAGAGGTGGAACGAGTATAGTTTTCTGATTCATAGTCCCATAAACTAATTTGTTAGACCAAACTGCTTCCTATGCATGTAATTTAGGGCTAGATCTCATATAGCATGCAATAAGTGTGGGGGGAGAGGAGGGATAAGTAACTTCAAATTCTTGCATGACACCATTTCACCATCTGCAAAGTGTTGCTAATAGTACTTACTTACCACACTAGTGGAGTGTGAGGATGGATTACAGTTTGTCCAGCACACTGAAAACATACAAACAATAACAGCATTTTGCACTTCAGTAGTGCCTTCTATCTCAGGGTCTTTACTTGCTGCTGGGAATGGTTTTGAAAATATTGGATATTACCATCTAAAGTTTACAAATGCAAAAAAAGCAAATGAACAAGACCCCACAACCCTGCTCTTCAGAAGAATTTTATGAACACCAAGAATAAAAGTTAGGGATGAGGGGATAAATTCCATCAGGGAAATCATCCCAGCCACCACTTTAATTGGGGGGTGGGGTTTTGAGGGACTCCTGCAAATTCTCTACAGTACATTGCTGCTTGACCCTAGTTTAACTGAGATGTTTGTCTCAAAATTAGGTTTACACAGAGGAAGGTGGCTAGTCTGAAATCAGTGGTGTGGGAAACTAGGGCATTGTAATTTTAGATGCACAGGTATTTTGTGAGGCTTTTATAGGGAAAAGTGCTAGTACATTATAGAGAATAATCCCTATGGCCCCTTCTCAGAGCTCCATGCGGAAGGTCAGAGAGGTTCTAGCCATCTTCTTCCTATAATCTTCATCAAATTTCTCATTCTGTGCCATTGTGAAGTGGTTCTTCCAGTCTCCAACAGTCTCTACAATACAGGAAAGCCAAAGAGATACTCAGTCACCATTAGGAAGAATTTTTCCACTTCATCCCAAGTCCTGAAATCCATTATCACTAACTCAAAAGATATTAACAGTTCAATGAAGGGCTAATTCAAAAACACAACAGGAAGGAAGATGAGGGAATACTAAAAATACAAAACAGCAGCACTGTAACAGGTTGACTCACTCCTTAAGGGCTGGGGCTGGCTCAGATCATACTACAGAATGAGCCATAGCTGGGAGAGATCAGGGTGACTGTCCTATAAAGTGCAAAAGGAGGCTGCAATCAATGAGGAAGCTTAGGAAAATGAGAGACACTGTAGGAAGCATGAAGGACTTCTGCAGGGAAGACCTTGAGACTAAGGGAATTGGAAACTTCTGTGGAGAAACCCAGACAGAATTTGGGCCTAGAAGTTCACGGGCCTGTAGGCCAGTGAGCTAAGCTCCAGCTAGAAAGAGCTGGGAGGATGGACTGAGAACAGACTAGGACAGAAGAGCTCTCACTGAGATAAGACACCAGAGCAAAGCATGGACTGTTGTGTGCGGATGGACTTTATTTTGGAACCCTGAGGATTGTTCAGAACTGTTTTTGTTATTAAGCCAGCCCCAGGTGTGTGTGCGGAGGGGGGGAGGGAAAGGTGTTTCTTCTCCATGTGAAAACCTGTATACAGTTCTTAAGGGTCCTGCAAGAGGGAGATTAAAGGGGCAGGGCAGCTGCAAAGCATTCCCTAGCCACAAGAGGGTACTCCGTAAATGGCCACACTGCTACAAGCACCTTTTCTCATGAATGGTGAGATTGAGTGGTCCATTACTGCAGGAGGCTGAAAAGTGTAGTTTGCCATGGGGTTGTCCTTCATTATTTCAAATGTTGTGTGGTGGATGATCTTATCTAGAACCGCATTCTCCAAGTCCTTCTCCAGGAACTGTAACACCTTTTGGATTTCACGCTTTGGATCCTGTGGAAGGAGTGAAATTGGATAAGAAACCGACCCAGGAAGAGGAAACAAATCCGATAGGGAAAAGTTGTGAGGAAGTTTTAAATGTTGAAATCATACCTATGACTGGGGTAGGGGTGGAATCAGATCAGCTGGAGACCCAGCTGTTGTTAGCAGAACATTGCTGTGGGGAGCTCATACCTGCTGGAATCTTGAATGGCAATAACAGAGCACTATGAACCCTGACTCACCCCCTCACCTCCTTTAGGTCTTCATAGAAGAGGTAGATAATACAGTTGTTCTCTTTTGCTTCCCACCATCCTTTTATGTGATCATACTAGCAACCCCAAAGCACTGAAAGAGAAGAGAGTAAGCAGTAGTCAGCAAGTAGCAATGTCTGATCTATTCGGATATCTTAGTTACTTATATAGCCCCCATAAGTGGAGTATCTGAGCACTTAATCTGTAGTGTATTTATCCTCACAATGCCCCAGAGAAATAAGGGTATTTTATAGATGGGGAGTTGGCATGGGGGTGGTCCTTTACATTGACAAGAGGGAAAAACAAACAAACAAAAACAGAAAACCAGCAGCATCTAATCTGAGTCTGGATCTACAGACTTGGGTTTAAGGCTCACATTACAGTGCTAAAAATAGCCATGTAGATGTTCCTGCTTGGGCTCTGAAACCCAGTGTGCGTGTATGGGGTGTAGACAAACACTGAGGCACAGAGAGACTGAGGACTTCTCTATACAGCAAGTAGCACAGCAAGCCAGGGTGTCGCTCTACAGTGTGCCAGCTTGCCCCATGGTAATGTCCTTTGTGGGCACTGCTTGTAGCAAACTAGGCTTTAATCTGGGCGTGCTGTAGCAATGTCACGTTTACATAGGTTGTTACTGTGTGACAAGTTGGTGTGGTGTAGATTCACACTTTGGCTTGCTGTGCAGTGACTTCATAGGATATCAGGGTTGGAAGGGACCTCAGAAGATCATCTAGTCCAACCCCCTGCTCAAAGCAGGGCCAATCCTCCAATTTTTGCCCCAGATCCCTAACTGGCCCCCTCAAGGATTGAACTCCCAACCCTGGGTTTAGCAGGCCAATGCTCAAACCACTGAGCTATCCCTCCCCCCTTGGCCAAGGTTACACGTTAAGTCTGCATTGGAAATATTTTTCAGAGCCCCAGACTATCCTTCCTCTCCAGCTGATTGCTGAGCAATATGCCTTTAACCTCCAAATATATGGAAAAAAATTAAACTTTAAAACAAGGAATTTTGGGGTATTAGGGACCCTGGAGGGGAAGGGGAAGTCCTTGGAGTGAGAAAGTGGAGAAAGGAAGGGTTTCTTGGTAAAAGACACCAGAATGGAATAGAGTTCCTGTTTAAATGTTTGGAATAGATTTCCCTACAGTACATTATCAGTGTTGGTTCAGAACAATGGATGGGGGCTGAATATAAATAGCATAAATTAAAAAAAAAAACACCAAAAGGCACAGGATGTTCTACAATTGGTTCCATTCACCTTGTCCAGCCATGCATTTCTCCAGAAACTCCTCCCAGGTTCCTGGCTCAGGCATGTTTTAATTCATTCTGTGAAAATGGGAGTATGGCACCAGGGTGTCTTTTGCATTTCTTGCCACATAGGATTATCTGGATTGGTTGTGGAAGCAAGTGAGAGAAAGAAATGAAATATGTATATTTAACATTATAGATGTAGACATGTACAGAGGGTTCTGAGTGTCCTGTTTTGTGATAATCTTTTGAGAGAACCCACAAAAGTCATAAAAATTTTCTGCTTGGGAGCTGCTATTTCCTGAAACCAAATCTGTGATTGAATGAAGTTCCTTCACTTTCACACAGAAGCGATATATTACAGGGAAGATCATAGAATATCAGGGTTGGAAGGGACCTCAGGAGGTCATCTAGTCCAACCTCCTGCTCAAAAGCAGGACCCATCCCCAATTAAATCATCCCAGCCAAGGCTTTCTCAAGATGGGCCTCTAGATTTCAGGAGGAGTCTGGAAACCAGCCTTCATCCTATTTAATTTGTTCATTTCCAAATAAAGTAGTCTTGAGCCCCCTTCCCCTCCTTACCTTACACTTTTGCTCCCAGAAGGATGGAGGCACCAGTTGTACAGGGAGACGAGTTTTCAGTGCTCGTGGGGAGGACATCGCTTCAGCTAGTTCCAAGACTGCAAAAAGTTTTGTAGTAATTCTCCAGTGTCCTTGTATCTATATTCCTTTTTGTCTTTGTCACCATCATGTGTGGGATTTTGACTCAGACTTTCCAGGGAAATGCCAGTTTGTATCAGTTTATACATGTGCAACTCTACCTCATTGCAACTCTCCATGGAAAACATGGTATAACAACTTGTATCAACCATCCGTGTCCTTGAGACTTTGCCTGCATTCTTGAGGAGGAATGCTGAAGGTATACAGATTCATTTTTTCTAGCTTTTTTGGGATACGGTCTAAATCCCTCTAGGGCAGTGCTGAATATTGACTCGTCTACTTGGATGGACCTTATCCCATTTCAGCACTCAGTGAATATTCATTTTACTTTACTTATAGAAGATTATTTCTTTTTAGGACAAGAGAGCCATAGATAGGGTGACCAGATTGTCAAAGTGAAAAAACTAGGACATCTGTCATGGAATGGGAGGCAGTGAGGGTTTTTTTATTTAAATGAGGATTCAGGATGTGTGCATGAGACAGACAAGATGGAACAAGGAACCTTTTTTTTTTAAACTTCTCTCATCTAAGTAACCATGTTCTCCTGTCTCACCGTTCTGTCCCCTTTAAGAGTAAGATGAGTATGTTAGAGAAAGTATGGTGAAAGAAAACAGTATTTACCTTTACTATTTTCTTCCAGTCCCAACTCAATGACAGTATTTTTGATCCTATTCCTCCAGAGTAGCATTTCTAACAAAAATTCTTCCATTTGTCTCATCACTATACTGTCCTCCTCCTGGGTTTTCTGGTTTTAGATTAGTTTCTATACTTTTGTCATGGTCTTCCCCCCCCCACCCCGCCGCCACTTCCTCTTGCTTGGTCCTTCCTCTTTTGTCTCCCCAAGAAACAGGTGCCCCTTTTGTCCCTCTATGCCCTGACACAGTCAGGTGTGGAGGACGTGAGACATACAGCAGCTATCCACAGTCAGAGAGAATTTCTTTGACTATATGCTAGGTCGGGTTGGCTTGAGGACTCACACTCACTGGCAGGCCTCATTGAAGAGCTCCTGCTCATAGACCTGAATAATCATAATCACCTGTGTAGAAATCTCTCCAGATAGCATAACAAAAGGAATGGAGATTTTCTTGGAAAACTGTCATCTACAATGGATACTTTTTTTTAGTGGATAAGATTTTCCATTATTTAGAAAGCAAAATTTTGATTTCATAACTTTGGACAAAATTGCGTCCTGTTTGTGTTACATTTACCATTTGTATCAGAGCTGAAAGGTCCAGGAAGAACCCACTCAATGAAAGGGTGTTGCAGATAAGTGGTGGCACGTTTACATTTCTCAATGTCTCCATCATGTTGGATCATATCCACAATCTCCTGTATCCATGTTGTACCTGAAAAACATTAGAATTTTACATATTTCCCCAATGCAGTGCAGAGAGACTTTTCTAAGAGAAATGGAAGCTTGTTAAAAATACTGGCTGGATGGTGACCACATTCAAGGAAGACTGGAGAAGTCACAAGGCCATTGCTACAAGAGGACAATAGGCATGGGGGTTAGAAAGTGAATGAGGGAGAAAATGCAATGAAAGGAAGAGAAGTTGAAACTTTTAGTACCTCCTGAGTAAAAGCCTCTGGGCTTGCATTTAGGACTCTGTTCTTGTGTGTGGTAGAAATTAATGAATAAAAGCATGGAGTTCAATTGGTTATGAATTGTAGGATTGTTTATTTGTAGAGCTGAGTTAAAGTCAATTTTCATCTCGTGGGAAATTCTGATATTTTTTGACAGTTTTTTTCATCCTGAACTAGGACAAAAATTGAAGAAACCCAAAGGTTTCAATAAATGAAAAATTCTGAAAGTTTTCAATTTGGAAATAACAAAAAATGTTCAACATTCCTGAACTGAAACATTTTGTTTTGAGTCGCTTTGAACTTAAACTGAATCTGTTGCTGGTGTGTCTCCTACGGGTTGTAGTTTGGGTGCTTCAGACACCGATTCTCCCCCATGGGCTGGGCTCCATGACTGGACTACAAATCCCATCATGCACTGCGATGTTTCATCCAGGGGAGACTGCATCCCCGGTGATGCATCATAATCTGGCCAAGGAGTCCAGCCTATAGTAGAGAGTGGGGGTATGGGAAAGTGAACTACAACTTCCATAATGCACTGCAGCATTATGCAGACAGATGCAGTTTAGTGTTGCACTGATCCTAGGCTAAACATTTCAATTATGTGCAACAAACTGAAATGTTCAGATTTAGGATGATCTCACATGAAATATTTTGTTTCAATTTTCCTTAAGGAAAATAAAAAAATTCAGAATAGAAATTTTCCCCACAGAAAATTTTGCAGCAACCATATTTGCTGTTAAAAACATTTTGACCACCTCTAATTATTTGAATGACTACCAGGCATTCAAGAATGTTCTTTAATCCCAAAGTTTTACATATTTTTGTTCATCCAAAATTGCACCTGAAGTTTGTAGTTCATTATTCCTTTATTTGAAAGGTGTAAATAATCTACCATATGATGTAAGTGGCCAACCACAGGACACAAAAAATAAATACTAGCTAGTGAAGACAGACTGAACAACCTGTAGGCTGAAGATGTTGGATCACATTAAAGAAGTTCTGTATTAAAATCACAAATGAGTTTGATTCCCCATAGTTTAGATTCCAGGGTATTACTAATTAAGAGGTCTCTTGGGTTTTAGTACTGTTTCTCTCCCTCTATGTGTGAAACTTGCAAGCTGCTAATTGTGTTAGTACATTCTAAGACAGAGACTGTTCTCAAAGCAATTCACAGAGAGAGAGACTCAAAGCAATACTCTAACAACAGAAACAGCACCCAGAGACTCCCCGCCCTTTTGTTGTATTAACAATTGTGATTAAAATAGAGATAGAGGATGTATGTGGATGGATGCTTGGTGTAGATAATAACTGAATGATCAGGGAGGTGCCAGCCTAAGAATCCAGTGTCCATTGGCTGAAGAAGGCGTCAAGTGGAAATAACCAGAGGACCCCCGGAGGGCAGACTGGAATCCACCCAACAGCCTCAAGAATGGGAGAACCAAAGAACAAGATAACATCTGGCACCACGGAGCCGTCAGGAATGTGCCATCTGCTGATTGATTCAGCAACAGCATGATGAAGCAATTCCCATAGACTGGCATAGGAAGAAATTCCTATAAAAATAGACTCTAGAAAGTGAGAACTTTGGGGTCTGATTCTGAAAACCAACTTCCAGGAGCATCAGATGAGCATCTGACAAGGCCCTGCTCCCTCCTCATGTCCAGGCCACCTGGCCAGTGGCTTGGCATGAGCAACTCCAAGGCTGGTAACTATGATGAAAACCTTGCAGAACCTCTGTGTGTGTGTATGTATGAATGTGTGAATAAATGAGATTGAATGGAATGTTATAACTATAACTAACTGCTTACTATGATTCTTTCTGTATTCACAATAAATGTGGTATTTTGCCTTTCCCTTTAATAAGATCCTGCTGGTTTTTAATTTATTGGTACAACAAAGATTCATCCAAACCTCTTGGTAAATACTAATAATTAAGGCTATGTTTACACTTAAAACATTACAGTGTAGACCTACATCAGTAGCACTTCAGTGTAGACATTACAGCAGGGGTGGGCAAACTATGGCCTGGGGCCACATCTGGCCCTTCAGACGTTTTAATCTGGCCCTCAAGCTCCCACTGGGGAGCAGGGTCCAGGGCTTTCCCCTATCCAGAACTCCGGCCAGGGAACGGGATCATGGGCTTGCCTGGCTCTGCATGGCTCCCGGAAGCAGCAGCATGTCCCCCCCTCTGGCTCCTAGGGGCAGCCAGGGGGCTCCACACACTACCCATGCCCCAAGCGCTGCCTCTGCAGCTCCTATTGGCCGGGAACCACAGCCAATGGGAGGTACAGGGGCAGCACCTGTGGATGGGGCAGCGTGCAGAGCTGCCTGGCCACCCCTCCGTGTAGAAGCTGGAGGGGGACATGCTGCTGTTTCCAGGAGCTGCTTGAGGTAAATGCCACCTGGAGCTTGCACCCCTGGCTCCCTCCTGTGCCCCAATCCCCAGCCCTGATCCCCTTCCCACCCTCCAAACTCCTCGGTCGCAGCCTGGAGCACCCTCCTGCACCCTGAACCCCTCATCCCCAGCCCCACCCAGAGCCTGCACCCCCAGCTGGAGCCACACTCCCCTCCCCCCACACCCCAATCTCCTGCCTCAGCCTGGAACCTCCTCCTGTACCCTAAACTCATTATTTCCGGCCCCAGCCCAGAGCCTTCACCCCCAGCTGGAGCCCTCACCCCCTTCCACACCCCAACCCCCAATTTCGTGGGCATTCATGGCCCGCCATACAATTTCCATATCCAGATGTGGCCCTTAGGTCAAAAGGTTTGCCCACACCTGCACTATAGTGACGCAAAGGGTTCTTCCATCACTGTGGTTAATCCACCTCCCCAAGAGGCAGTAGCTAGGTCAAGGGAAGAATTCTTTGTTGACCTAGTGCTGTCAACACCAGGGGTTAGGATGGCAGAGCTACATCTCTGAAGGGTATCGTTTTTAAACAACCCTGAGAGACATAGCTATGCCAATGTAAGTTTTCAGCATAGATCAGCCCTAACTGATAAACTTGCAGAAATCAGGAATGGTTCATACCCGAGTAACTAACAAAACAAAAGATCCCTCCCCCACAAAACCCACAAGCCCTAAATTCATAATAGTTCAACCAATTCCCTTTGGTTAATTATAAATTGAATGATGATTTTAACCAGGGTTTTGTTAAATTAATACAAATTGTGTGTCACTGACTATACATTTACACAAACTGAACTAAAGATTTAATCATATGATGCTAGACTATCTATTTGCATTTTGTAAGTGGTTGGTTATTTTTTTCTAAAAAGGAAGCTAGAAGTCACTGGTGCTCCGATGAAAGGCCTATGCTAGTGATTACATACATCTCAAGTCACAAGTCTTGATGAAAGTATTGCAAAGCATGAGTTTCAGTGCAGGCAGATAGTTCTGTCTCAACCCATTTCCACTCCCCTCTGTTCCCACACACCTGCTTTTGCATAGGTTGCGATGAGCAGATAATCAGGTCTGGCTCTGAAGTTCCAGATTTGATCCCATCTGTCACACACTCTTTTTTGAAGGAGAACTCCACCCACTTCATCTGTTTCAGAGCGTGTCACGGAGCACTCTAGGTTCAGATCTTTCATCATATCCAGGGCCATTGTGTACTGCATGGAGAAGAAATAGGTTGCCAGTAAACAGGTCTGCTCTAAAGAAGTATATGAATGTACTATTCTAATCTCAGCCTGGGACTCAGTACACTTAGTATGGTAAAAATGTCCACAGTTCTCTGACTCAGTTGCTTAAAGTTAGACATGCCTAAATGTGGCTTTAGATACAGTAAACTGTAGCCTAATTTTCAAAGGTGCTAAGCACCTTGCAGCTCCTACTGGCTTCAGAATGACAGCATCTTTGAAAATCATGCCATTTACTTAGTTACCCATGTTTGGGCATTTTAGCCTTTGCATACATTACTTAATGTAAATTAGTGACAGGCACAGGTAAATTACAAACTACGTAACAACTTGGAGCATTATCCTGAGCGGATTTGAACACCCACAGTTTCCACTGAAGTCAACTGAAGACACCTCACAGGACCAGGTCCTTCTTTACTAAAGAAAACAAATGGCAAAAGCTTAGTAATGTCAGTGCTCCTACTCTTGCTACTGAAAACTAAACCCCATTGGTCCTTTGTAATTGTTACAGTTCTGGACTTCTATCTTCTGGAATACTGTTGCATTTTACAGCTCTCTCTATCACCTCCATCACCTTTTTCAGTGCTTTTTTGAGCAACGGTAACATATCTGGAAAATTCTGAGATAACTGAAGTTGAAACTGGCTCATTGTTCCTTCTTGTTGCACTCCTCCCACAGAACAGCATGATTATAAATAGTATGCCTGCTGCAATCCAATAGTCACAAAACAGACTGAAGAGGGGTTTTCTGGACTTTGTTTTTCCTTCTGTCCTCCTGATTCTAGTTTCTTTGCTCTGTCTGGGAAGATGGCATTAGTAAAGGTGCAGGGCTTGGAACCACAAAACTGTGCAAGAAACGTGAAGCTGGAGAACTTGGATGCTTCCTGTCCCTGATGTTGCAGTTCCAGGATGAAGAGCGTCTGCTCTCTGCGGGCTGTTCTATTCCTAATCCTATCCACACCTTCTTTAATATAGGTGCTGTCAACAAAGAAATAGTGTAGGAAATTGGGCAGATCTTAAAAAAGTCCCCTGCAAATGCAGGAATAAGAGGAGGAGACAGCATAGCAATAGTCAATGGCTAGAGAGTTTCTCTGCCTTGCAATGTATGCTCCTTTTTAATACCTGGAGGGATATGTTTTTAATCATATTGTAAAAAAATGTTTACTTACCTATGACGCTAAACACCTGAGATTATTAAAAGAGAAATAGCTCCAGTGAGGGCAATTTGTTTGTAATGTTGTTTAAAGAATCTCAGAATAAGAAAATTTTCCTGGATATTTGACCTAATCTGTACATATAGTATCTTAAAGGGAAAATAAGTCTCTTTATCTGTGTTACCATTAGTATCAGAATGAATATAGTGAATTTTTTTAAAAAAAATCTTGTTTAGTTTTCATCACTTACTGTAAACTGCTTGTTTACTTTTTTCATTTTATTCAGTTTGGACAAGGAGAACTGATTCCATGGTCACTAATTTTTGTTTAAAGTCCGTTTCTAGTCAATTTCACTTTCTGATTTTCAGTCATTAGCATGATGTGCAATATTTTAATCCAAACATATATTTAAAAGTTTAAACAACTAATTGTTTTCAGTAACATCATGAGAACATTTCCATTAGATTTTTGTCAAATGTTTGTCCCCTGAACTGGGGACATAAAATAATTAGAAGTAATCTTTTAAATCCATTATTGCCCTACACAGCTGAGCTGCTGATTTTTCCACCAAGGAGTTATCTAATAGAGGAAACTTTCAGAGCCACTATTGATCTTATGGAGTAATGATAGCAGAGGTTCCTTTTACCATTGCTCCTGAAACCTGCTTCACATGGGTTTTCGCCATATGGAGAAGAAATGTCTCATCTAACTTAGGTGGCTTTTCTCCACCATATTAGAGAAGGCATGGTACTGCTGGCAGTGGTCAATTCCACCACATCCTAGACTTGCAGATGGGCCAGATAAATGGGTAAATAAGTGCCAGACAGATGTCAATACCCTCCTGATTGCCATTTTGGGGGTTGGAAGGAATTTTCCCCCAGGTCAGATTGGAAGAGACCCTGGAGTTTTTCCACTTTGCTCTGCAGCATGGGTCACTTCCTGGTTTGAAGTAGAATAAATGGTGGATTCTCTGTAACTTGAAGTCTTTAAATCAAAATCTGAGGACTTTAGTAGCTCAGCCAGAGGTTATGAGCCTACTACAGGAGTTGGGTGGGCGAGGTTCTGTGCCTGCAACATGTGAGAAGTCAGACTAGGTGATCATGATGGTCTCTTCTGGTCTTAAAGTCTCTGAGCTCCTCCTTCCTACAGCAGGGTCCACTGTCTTTTCATCCCTCCGGCCTGATAAGTCTTGATCAAGTCTTGAACAATATTGTTTAGATAATTGAAGTTGTAATAAAGAGTACAGAGGAAAACAGTCTTAAGATGATGATACAAAAAACTCTGCTCAAATTGACACTGATGCCCTTATAAAAAAAGGCATCTAAGATCTACCCACTAGGCTGGAGGAGAGGGACAGGGACATGAAGGGAGAAAGACCAGCAGCTGGACTCTTCAGAAATACCCTGGACATTTGCACCATTAAGAAATGAAAAACATAGCTAAGATACAATACCTCAAACAGAAGTTATGAATGGGATGCAGAAATTACTGGTTCTTTGGTCTGTGATATGCAAGAGGTCACACTACATGCTCTTAATAGTCCCTTCTGTTTTTTTTTAAATGAATCTACGAAAATTGAATGGATAATTTTTACTGTGGCCTGACAAAGTGCTAGGAGTTCATTTTTGTTTGTGTTTCACCCCACAGTTCAAATAAATTGTTGAGTTGTCAGTTTTCACAAGTCATATGATATTAGGCATTTTCAGTTAATTATGATTTCGGGAGGTTTCAGAGTAACAGCCGTGTTAGTCTGTCTTTGCAAAAAGAAAAGGAGTACTTGTGGCACCTTAGAGACTAACCAATTTATTTGAGCATGAGCTTTCATGAGCTACAGCTCACTTCATCGGATGCATACCGTGGAAACTGCAGTAGACATTATATACACACAGAGACCATGAAACAATACCCCCTCCCACCCCACTGTCCTGCTGGTAATAGCTTATCTAAAGTGATCATTAAGTTGGGCCATTTCCAGCACAAATCCAGGTTCTCACCCTCTGCCCCCACCCCCCACAAACTCACTCTCCTGCTGGCAATAGCTAATCCAAACTGACCACTCTCCAAGTTTAAATCCAAGTTTAACCAGAACGTCTGGGGAGGGGGGTAGGAAAAAGCAAGGGGAAATAGGCTACCTTGCATAATGACTTAGCCACTCCCAGTCTCTATTTAAGCCTAAATTAATAGTATCCAATTTGCAAATGATTCCAATTCAGCAGTTTCTCACTGGAGTCTGGATTTGAAGTTTTTTTGTTGTAAGATAGTGACCTTCATGTCGGTGATTGCGTGACCAGAGAGATTGAAGTGTTCTCCGACTGGTTTATGAATGTTATAATTCTTGACATCTGATTTGTGTCCATTTATTCTTTTACGTAGAGACTGTCCAGTTTGACCAATGTAAATGGCAGAGGGGCATTGCTGGCACATGATGGCATATATCACATTGGTGGATGTGCAGGTGAACGAGCCTCTGATAGTGTGGCTGATGTTATTAGGCCCAGTGATGGTGTCCCCTGAATAGATATGTGGGCACAGTTGGCAACGGGCTTTGTTGCAAGGATAGGTTCCTGGGCTAGTGGTTCTGTTGTGTGGTATGTGGTTGTTGGTGAGTATTTACTTCAGGTTGCGGGGCTGTCTGTAGGCAAGGACTGGCCTGTCTCCCAAGATTTGTGAGAGTGTTGGGTTATCCTTCAGGATAGGTTGTAGATCCTTAATAATGCATTGGAGGGGTTTTAGTTGGGGGCTGAAGGTGACGGCTAGAAAATCATAGATTAGAATCCTAGAATATCAGGAGGTCATCTAGTCCAACCCCCTGCTCAAAGCAGGACCAATTCCCAACTTAATCATCCCAGCCAGGGCTTTGTCAAGCCTGACCTGAAAAACTTTGAAGGAAGGAAATTCCACCACCTCCCTAGGTAACTCATTCCAGTGTTTCACCACCCTCCTAATGAAAAAGTTTTTCCTAATATCCAACCTAAATCTCCCCCACTGCAACTTGAGACCATTACTCCTCGTTCTGTCATCTGCTACCACTGAGAACAGTCTAGATCCATCCTCTTTGGAACCCCCTTTCAGGTAGTTGAAAGCAGCTATCAAATCCCCCCTCATTCTTCTCTTCCACAGACTAAACAATCCCAGTTCCCTCAGCCTCTCCTCAGAAGTCATGTGTTCCAGTCCCCTAATAATTTTTGTTGCCCTCTGCTGGACTCTTTCCAGTTTTTCCACATCCTTCTTGTAGTGTGGGGCCCAAAACTGGACACAGTATCCAGATGAGGCCTCACCAATGTCGAATAGAGGGGAACGATCACGTCCCTTGATCTGCTGGCAATGCCCCTACTTATACATCCCAAAATGCCATTGGCTTTCTTGGCAACAAGGGCACACTGTTGACTCATATCCAGCTTCTCATCCACTGTAACCCCTAGGTCCTTTTCTGCAGAACTGCTGCCGAGCCATTCGGTCCCTAGTCTGTAGAGGTGCATGGGATTCTTCCGTCCTAAGTGCAGGACTCTGCACTTGTCCTTGTTGAACCTCATCAGATTTCTTTTGGCCCAATCCTCTAATTTGTCTAGGTCTAATTTGTCCAGGCCTTTGATCAAATCCCTCCACTGGCTCTGTAATGGGTTGGCACCCACTTATCGCAAGCAGCCCCTTTTTTGAGTGTGTATCTGCACCTCTTTCAGTCTGTGGTGACCCATTCTGGCAGTTTCTCTGGCGATTTCTAGTGACTCAGCCCTCCAGCAGAGTTACATGCAGTCTGTATGGAACACAACTCTAACAGACCCCTTCTGGGGTATGAATCCAACAAAGTCTTTAA